TATTTGAACACGACGTTGTTTGCCTTAGCATATTTATCTATGATCGTTTTTGTTACCAAGTTCCTTTTCATTGAAGAGAAAACACGGAAAGTAATGGGGTTTTTTGATAAATAGCTTATCAGTCATTTCAGTCATTTTTTGGCTGATTTGACTATATTTAACCTTTTGACCATATCAATCAGCTAATAAAAGTGTTTGGTTAAATGATTTTTTCAATTATGAAAATCTCAAATGCCAACAACCGCGACATTTACTAGCGGCTTTTCCCATCTTCCCGATACTACCCATCCATTTCAGATATCTGCTCAAGTAATTGTCCTATATAGGACTAAAACAAAAGTGAAGTGCAAAAATAAGACTTGATATGTTTTCTTCCCTTAATAGGATTAATTTACTCCTACGGTTAACATACGAAAATTTGGCATATCAATTTTTCCCCTGCACCAATTTAGCCGCACCGATTTAGGGTATGTTTGGCACAACTAGCTAAAAAGATACTTTTACGAGCTTTTTAGTAACTGTTAGCTTTTAGTGACTGAAAAGATCTTAAAAAGAAAAGGTGATAGCTGTTTGGTAAAAAGCTGACTGTTTGATTTAGTTCGGCTTGGTATACAAGCTGTTAGGACTAATTTAAACTAAAAGTCACGAGCTTTTCTCAGATGCTACACCTGGTAGCATCTCAAAAAAGATCTTTTAATTTTTGAAAAGCTCTTAAAAAATGTCATGCCAAACATACAACTAGAGTCTTTTAAGGTCTTTTTAAAGAATAGAGAAGCTATAAGCTGGAGTCTTTTGTGTGCCAAACATAGCCTTAGCCTTCTCTCTGCTTTACCTTCATAATCCACCAACTCATTCAGTCATTCTCCAACCTCCAAAACAAATCGAGAGTTTAGAGCGCAGCAAAACAAATCGACATATTGCTTCTCTTCTTCTCACTAGATCCATCGATTTCTTCTGCCCTGAGTATCAAATCGATTTCATCACCGACTTCATCCCTAGCGGCTAGCCGCCAATGTCGCTAACGAATCCACTGCGTGCATGCCGGCGTTTGGCAAGGTTTCTTCTTCTTTTTCCTTCTTTTTCTTCTTCTTCTTCCTCCTACTCCGGTCTCTTCCTCCTCCAATTATTCGAATTTTGGATTTGAAATTGATTTTTCTAATTTTTCCTTCATTCCTCTATTTTTTTTAGTTTTGGCTTTCCATTTGTTGATTCATGATCTTCAATTTCAAAATCCGTTTCTTGATTTCTTGATTTTTTTTTAAAATCAACTTTCCAGATTATTGGATGATGGCACACGTTTTTGCCATGTTTATGGCATATTTGTGGGCTATGGCATACAAATGTGCCAAGTTTATGGCAGAAATGTGCTCTGACAATCGATTTATGGCAAAACACATCTTGTGTTAATCGTTTTTTTTATGTTTTGCCATTCACTTCTTATTTCTTATTGAGATGAATTTGTCAAAGTTATTGTTCTATTAAATTTTTGGTTTTTCAGAAATTTAGTTGGGGACTTCATATTTTGTCATGATAATGGCAGTTTTGTGTATATCGGACGAGATAAATCTGCCATCTTTATGGCAGTTTTAAAAGTTTATCTTCAAGGCAGACTAGAAAGTTATCTTCCACGCCAAAACTTCCAACTTAATGGCTGATTTTTGAAGGTGGGGTGTGACGGTGGCGGCAGTGCTCGCAGGTGAAGTGGCAGCGACGAGAGTATGATGGCAGCGGCAAAGGCGGATGACGACCCTAGTATTGCACGATGTCTTCTGAGTTTTCCGATAGCTTCCGTCCACATAAGTCTCAATTAATTATTGACGAAGGATAAAATTGGGAGACCGGTCTTTTTTTAGTCTTACGAATTACGGAGTATTGCTTTCTTTTCTAGTCCTATTTGTACACATTCAATTAGTTTTAGTCCTATATAGGTCATTAACTCTATCTGCTCCTACTTGCAGTACTTTGCCAAAAAATTGAGAGAGAGAAATCTCTCCCCAAGTCCCAACCCTAGGAGCAAGGTTAGCTATTTGTAATCTCTTACTCCTCTTTCGTCACTCGTCAGTTGACGGCAATCGTGAAGGAGATGAAACACAATTGGGATTAGAGAAATGGAGAGGAAATTTGGTTTTCATTCAAGTCACTAGTTTTCGACACGCGCGTTGGAGCGATTTAACATATGCCCAATGTTTTTTTGTTTAATACTTGTACGTTGTATTTTGATATGATTTTTTTAGTATTTAGCATTTTGTACATATATACGTTATGTATATATATTCTTTTTAACCTTCTTATTCTATCATTTGTATGTATATCCATCTATTTTTATATTCTGTTTTATCATAGTTTATCTTTTTTTTCCTTTTGGTTACGATATCATGTATAGATTCATGTTAGCCGACTCCAAAATCTTTTGGAACTAAGCTTTGGATGTTGTTGTTGTTTTAACATGTGAAAAATTAGTAGTGATCAATCAGAAAAATATATAGTCTTTACATTTCAGTGAATACTCAACCTTGCGTAATTCGACAAATGTGCAACATGGTGAGGTGTAGATAATTTAGCTCATAAGTAAATGGCCAAAAACCCCTTGAAGTAACACTCGATGTCTTCGGACATTCAAAAACGGTTGTCTAAGCCACTCCGTATTTGCTGTAGTCATGGACCCGGGCCGGATCGATTCCGGTTCCGGGCCGGGCCTGGCCGGGCTTTTTTTAGGAAGGAAGGCCCGGGCCAGGCCCGGGTAGCCACCGGATCCGGGCCAGGCCTCCGGTTTAGTTATATTTTTTTTTTTTTGATTTACTAACCCCCCACCCCCCCAAACCCCTCCTAACCATCAAGCTCAACCCGGGTAAAACCCCAAAAATGAAAAAAAAAAAAAAACAAAATCAATTCGGCCCGGACCCGGGCCCGACCCGGCCGGGCCGGTTCGCCAAATATAAGACCCGAGCCCGGACCCGCCCCCCACCGGGCCTAGGCCCGACCCGAATCCGAGAACCGAGCCGGTCCCGCACAGTAGCGGGCCGGGCGGCCTGAACCGGGTCCAAGACTAATTTGCTGTATCATGATGAGCATTATAATTAACATTTGTGACATATATAAGAGTAGAATTAACACTGATAACATAAGTTTGCTATCAACACTATAGTATCATGTTAGCTGATTTTTTTATTATAAAAACGTACAGTAGAATTAACATTGATAACATTAGCCTGTTATAAACATTCAACAAACATTGTTACATTGCCTAAAGTGTATGAGAAACTAAGATTGTTACACTGCCATGGATTATCATGCTCCTGAATAAAGATGACAAAAACATTAGAATAATATCCCCAAGCAGTAACAAGTTAATATAATGAAATTAGACATCACATTATCATTTCATTAGAAAAACACATTAACTCAAGAGGTATATTAATTAATCCCGACAAAATGGGAAATCAAAAACACTGCCATGTATAGAGCAGATTATACCTTTTTCAATCTAACATCATCTTCAGATATATTAATATAATTAAAAAAATCCTAAATTTCAAAAGAGCTTAAAATGATTAACAATGGAAATCTCAACCAGGTTCGGAAAAGTTTAACAAAACTTATCCTATTGATAAATTCCAAACAACATAAGACTAAACATGTTCTAATTTTTAATGAGATGCGTGATACTGGGCGTTAATGCAAATAACAATCTGTTCTCCAAACAACAATTTTTCTTTGAGAGATATGTCACATTTGATGAAAGCAATTTCATTCGTAAGAATAAAATAATTTTCTACTTCCTCAAGACACCCCCTAAAAGTAATGTGTATCAATAATTTTTTTTTTTGTTATTTTGCATGTTTTTGGAAGAGTCTATTTCAAAAGTTAAGATGTCTAAAAAATACCTTAAAGAGTGGAATTTATCTGGTTTTGGTAACATTTTTCATATAGTTAAGCAAGGTGAGTTGAAGGCTGAAGCCGCTGACAAAAAGTTTGAAAATAATCGTAGTGACCAATGTGAAATAAAAATATGCTTAGGAAAACAGGAAGACATTCACAGATGGTGGATCATATACTTTCCCTTTGTTCTTATGTGAGACATATCTGGAAATAGTTTATGGGTTTACTGGGTATTCCTATGAACAATTCCATTCGCCAAGTTCCGTTCTCATGGTGGATTAAAGCAAGGAATAAATCTCTAATCGATATATTCAGACATAAATTACCGGGAATTATATCTTGGCATATATGGAAATTATACTCAAATCTGGTATGGGGAGGGCTCAAAACCATAGCAGACTCGGAGGTCCTTATATTCCAGATCGAAAGATTGACACATGACTGATCTAGCTGTTTGAAGAATGTGAAATCTAGTGTGGGGTCTGAGATTTTATGGCTAGAAAATCTTTACAGATCAATCCCGCCACAGAGCATGACCCATTTGCAGCAATGATACAAACCTTTTTCTGCCTAGGCGAATGCATTTTTAAGCAATTCTTCAGATATTGTCCATTCTTCTCTTGCAATCCCTGTCACAAATGCATGACAAAAGTAGGAACTGAAGATGGGAGGTGTGAACTGCGTAGTAAGAGATGATATAATATTCACCCCAATTGATCGAGGACAAGATGATGGAAAACTTTGCCATCTTCTAATATTTAGCAGGTGAGAATGCATAAAAATGCAATTTAATAGGTTACAGGAAGACCTAGTTCTCTTGGGAAAAAAACTCATGAGTGTGGCTTATAGGCTACATTCCGAACCGAATGAAATTGTCTAATCAATGTAAAACTCACCACTATGCTACTTTTCGGTTTGTTTGGGGCAATTCCAAAAACAATAGCAACATAGCACTGAAAAATGCAAATTAAAAAAAGAAGTATTCATATGTTTGGATAATAGGATAAGAATTCCAGATTTAAATTTAACTCAAAGCACACACCATTTTAGAATGTTGAGTCTATTATGTAGTCATATCTAAAATTTATCCCATAGTTGATGAAATTTGAATGCCAACATTTGTAAATGTAGAATTGAATTCTCGATGTCCAATTTAATTCATTGAATTCATCCACTGACTAAATCATTTGGGAATAAATACAAATGCAAGATAAGTGAATACATAGAGAGTACTCTTCATACCACTGTGTTTAACTTAAGACTAAACTACTAATGTCACGCCCCGGACCTCCCCGGACACGTCAACAACCCGCCGTACGATACGAATAGTCAACCGCAGTCCAACACATTCATATTATACAAGGCGTCATGAATATCATTCACACATAAGTCATCCATAAACATACATAATAAACAATTGAATACGCAGCGGAAAACATTGTTTAAAACAAAAGGGCCACACAGGGCAAACATGAGCACGCAGGCTCTAAAGTAAAATATCCATGAGCAAGTTTAAAATTATTTAAAAACAGAATGGAGGAAGCACGAACCAAGTCTTCTCTCCAAGGAATCACTCGATCCACGAGCACAGGAAGCAAGCTCTAGCCTCAACCTGAAATGGTGGTGGGACGCCCCCGAAGGGGTCAGTACTCTATACGGCTATAAAGTACTGGTGTGGCAGGCATCTAATAGATATACAACAAGTATTTCAAACACAAGACCCTCAAGTAGGGTGATAGTACATTATGATTGTAACCCTAAGTTACCCCGTTTAAAAATATACTTACTTTATATAAAAGTCAAGTAGTCGGCCCGTGGGCCCGTTTTCATTTGGAAATCACCATTCCCAACCCCGTGACTATAAGCCACGACAACTCCTAGAGTCCAACCCTAGTACATGACATTGTATTCTAGAGCTCGGCTCTACCACATCACCATACAATTCATATACCTCGGGTCAATTTCCCTACCTTGCGTTCTAGAGCTCGGCTCTATCACATCACCACGCAAGTCCTAGAGCTCGGCTCTAGCTATACAATACATAGACTCCAAGTCTACACCTTACATGCATTCTAGAGCTCGGCTCTATCACATCACCATGCATTAAGGTCCAATTCTCAAGCAACCCTATGCCTAGAATTGACATATCATTAAACTACCATGGGTCATCCTTAAAGACTCCCCATAACTTAACCTTAGTTCCATACTAAGTTATCATATACACTTGAACTACATTCAAGTACCTTTCATACAATCCAATCCCTAGGATCAATTTAATCAACAAGTTCCAATAATCACTAACTAGTATTCCAATACTATTAAGATTATTGTTATCGTACCATTATCCTCATTGTTTGTAATTCTCTACATATTTATAATTATGTAGCAGCAACTTAAGTATTCAATCTCAATACACAAATATTCATTTATGTATCCACATGATTCATACATGAGCAAAATGCCCATTTTCACAAAATAGTTCATTTATACTCATTTAATCTCATATTATTCATACTTTCTCAAATCATTCCAAATTCATTCTTTGGCAACTATATCAATATTTCATCAATATATAGTCATCATAATCCATGAAAAATCATGATTTAAGCATTTAGGTAATCTCATGCTTAACCTACAAGTTGTAAGCAATTAGATGTCAATCCTCACCTCAATTGAGCTTTAAACTTTCCCTTCTTGGTCCAATGGTCAAATCTTTGGTCAAGGTGGATTTGGGACTGATTCCTTGCTCAAATATGAGTGTTAAACAGCCTCCTCAAAGTGCTAGTTCAACCCTTAATCGTTGATACGAAAACAGCCCCTAGAACGGGTGTTTTCCGGCTAACTCGATTCCTAGTTTTCCAATATTTGCATCTAGGTTAGTATCTAACCTTTACATCAATAAGATAACTTTTTAGGGACATATTATACACTTGGATTAGTGTATAATAGTCTCACCAATCGTTCATATCATTTGGAGAATGAAAAGTAAAGCTTTGGGGTTAAAACTCACTTTAGAAGATTAAATCCTCTCCTGCGAGGTTGTGTTTTGCTCGGACGATTTGGAAGCCTTCCACAACTCCGATTCCTGCAAACCAGACCTTCACGGATTCCTCGTCTTGAGAGCTTTCTGTGGGTATCTCACACGCCTTAATTGGACTTGTAAAACTCGAGATATCGACCAAACAGTCTCAGCACTCTCACAGCTCGAGTTCACAGACCTTTGCTCGTTCCAGCTCGATTTTTGCAAGATAAGCCTTCTCTCCTCGAACAAAGACCACTCAATTGAGATAATAGACTTCAAAGGCTATCCAAGGACACCTCATACACGTTATTTGGTTGAGGATAGCTCCTATAATGAGAGGAGACAAACAGCACACCAATTTGTGCGAAAATAAGAGTGGTGGCCCCAAACTTTGATTCTTATCAAGTCATGTGCAGCTCTTCTCCATAATGGCCGGCCAAGGTAAGTCTCCTAACCCATTTTTATTTGTTTTGCAGGTACTAATACCATGTGGAGTGGTTCCCAATTGATCCCATTAAATTTGGGGTCCAAAATATCTACCAATACTTCCAAAAAATGGGAAGATGGGTCCTATTGTTTTATCTTTGTCAAAGATGTCTTTTTGTACTCATCCTAATTTATTTAGAACAAGTCAACTTCCTAAATCACATTATTGATCTCCAATATGTGTAGGCTCATCCCAATAATTTACACGATGAAAATTACAAAAGAATGCGGGTTTGAACAATACAATATTCAATCATGTACTTCGTAAAATATTAATCGTTTCTCCCATTGTTTTGAAATTGGAAATTCAATACATCACTTTTGAATTTTTAAATCGAATTTTCAAGGACGTTCGGGTGCGGTGTCACAAGTTCACCCCCCCTTAACAGGAATTTCGTCCCCGAAATTCACAGCTCTACTCGAATAGGAAAGCATACTGCTTCCTCATCAAAGCCTCCGTTTCCCATGTCTCTTCCTCGACCCGATCGCTCTTCCACAGGACTTTAACCATTGGGACTTCTTTGCTCCTCAGCTTCTTCACCTTTCTATCGGTGACCTTGATAGGTTGAACAGCGTAGTTCAAATCCTCACGTACCTCTACAGGTGGCTTCTCTAGTACGTGAGAGGGATCATGCACATACTTCTTAAGCATGGATACATGAAACACATTATGTATCTTCTCTAACTCAGGAGTCAACTGTAGACGATATGCAACGGCCCCAATCCTCTCTATAATTCTGAATGGACCTATATATCGTGGGTTAAGTTTTCCTCGGGTTTGGAACCGAATGATCCCTTTCCAAGGAGAAACTTTCAAGAATACCTCGTCATCAACCTTAAACTCTAAGGTTCTTCGACGCTTATCTGCATAACTCTTTTGTCTATCCTGAGCCGCCTTGAGTCTCTCTCGAATCAACTTCACCTTTGATTTGGTGACCTCAACCAACTCAGTACCCTCGAGTTTGGCCATGCCAACCTCGTCCCAGCATAATGGTGTACGGCATCTCCTCCCATACAATGCCTCGTATGGAGGCATGCCGATGCTTGCCTGATAACTGTTGTTATAGGCAAACTCCACAAGTGCTAAGTGGTTGTCCCAACTTCCTTGGAACTCTAATGCGCAAGCCCTCAGCATGTCTTCTAAGATCTGTATGACTCTTTCAGACTGCCCGTCCGTCTGTGGGTGGAAAGCAGTACTGAACTTCAACCTCGTTCCCATAGACTCCTGAAATTTCGGCCAAAAACGTGATGTGAATCGTGGGTCTCTATCGGATACAATGGTCACTGGAACCCCATGTAGCCTCACGATCTCATCCGTGTACAATTTGGCTAACCTCTCGAGTGGGTAAGTAGTGTTGATAGGTAAGAAGTGTGCACTCTTTGTGAGCCTATCTACAACAACCCAAACTGCATCATAGTTCCTGATCGTCCGTGGCAACCCTACCACAAAATCCATAGTCACGTGTTCCCACTTCCATTCAGGAATGGAAAGTGGTTGCAATAAGCCCGCTGGATGCTGATGCTCTGCCTTAACTTGTTGACAAGTAAGGCATCGACTGATATATTCGGCTATTTCTCTCTTCATACCTGACCACCAGTAACTCTCCTTCAGGTCACGGTACATCTTCGTGCCCCCCGGGTGCATGGCATAAGCCGATGAATGAGCTTCCTCTAAGATGGACTTTCGGAGCTCGTCATCTGCCGGTACACACACTCGGTCACGAAATAATAAGAGACCGTCATCTCTTTCTCGGAAGTCCTCCACCGGTCCCGCTTGCATGCGTTCCCGGATCTTCATAATTTCTTCGTCGGTTTCCTGACCCTTCTTGATCTCATCAAGTAAAGTGGGTCTCACCTCAAATCGTGCCAATAAGGCACCATCGCTGGATACCTCCAGTTGGGCTCTTAATGCCCTCAAATTAGCTAGCAATGGCCCAGACGAGCTTTTCCGGCTCAAAGCATCTGCCACCACGTTAGCCTTGCCTGGGTGATACTCTATCACCAGATGGTAGTCTTTTATCAACTCCATCCACCGTCTCTGTCTCATGTTTAGCTCTTTCTGAGTAAACACGTATTTCAAGCTCTTATGATCGGTATATATGTGACATGTCTCTCCGTAGAGATAATGTCTCCAAATCTTCAGTGCAAACACCACCGCTCCCAGCTCCAAATCATGGGTAGGATAATTTACCTCATGCTTCTTCAACTGTCGTGAAGCATAGGCAATTACCCTCCCTTCCTGCATCAGTACACACCCAAACCCTTGGATGCTCGCGTCACTATAGACATCGTACCCCACACCCTGTTTGGGTAATGCAAGTACCGGTGCCTCGGTCAACCGTTTCTTTAGTTCCATGAACCCCTTCTCACATTTGTCATCCCATACAAACTTAGCTCCTTTACGAGTGAGCTTCGTCAATGGTGATGCCAAAACAGAGAACTTCTCCACGAACTTCCTGTAGTAGCCTGCCAATCCAAGGAAACTACGAATTTCCTTAACGTTCTTTGGCCTCTCCCACTCGGTAATGGCTTCTATCTTCTTGTTATCAACAGCAATTCCCGATCCAGAAACCACGTGCCCGAGAAAGCCAATCTCCTTAAGCCAAAATTCACATTTAGAAAATTTGGCATAGAGTTGCTTCCCCCGTAGTGTCTCAAGAACAAGTATCAAGTGCTCCTCATGCTCTTCCTCACTCTTTGAGTAGATCAAGATGTCATCAATGAACACAATCACGAATCGGTCCAAGTATTTGTGAAATACTCGGTTCATTAAGTCCATGAATGCCGCCGGGGCATTTGTTAACCCAAACGACATAACAAGGAACTCAAAATGCCCATATCTCGTGCGGAAAGCACTCTTCGGTATGTCATCCTCCTTAATCTTCAATTGATGGTACCCCGACCTCAAGTCAATCTTTGAAAACACGGTTGCTCCTCGTAGTTGATCAAACAAGTCATCAATCCTAGGCAAGGGATACCTATTCTTGATTGTGACCTTGTTCAGTTGACGATAGTCAATGCACATTCGAAGTGTTCCATCCTTCTTTTTCACAAAAAGGACCGGTGCCCCCCATGGGGAGTGGCTTGGTCTGATGAAACCGTTATCCAAAAGCTCTTGCAATTGGGTTTTTAACTCGTTAAGTTCAGCGGGTGCCATACGGTATGGCGGTATGGAGATTGGTTTGGTACCAGGCTCGACCTCGATCACAAATTCAATCTCCCTATCAGGTGGAAGCCCCGGTAGGTCTTTAGGGAAGACATCCGGGTACTTACAAACCACCCTCACGTCGTCAATGTTCGTTTCCTCCTTGGTTTTGTCAACCACGTATGCTAGATATGCGTGACATCCCTTTCTCATCATACTTCTCGCTCTCACGGCGGAAATAATACAACTGTTTGATTTGCCTCGATCCCCCTCGAAGCGTAGGGTGTCCCCATTATTGCCTTCGAGTTCCAAAACCTTTGTGTAGCAATCTACCCTAGCATGATGCTTTTCTAGCCAATCCATCCCTAGGATTGCATCGAACTCCATCATACTCAGCGGTACGAAATCACACGTCAAGGTTTGGCCATCAATTTCCACCTCACAAGATGGATAATAACTAGTTCTTTCGACATCATCCCCTAGTGGTGTTGATACCACTAATGTGTGCGTCATTGGTGTTGATTGTACCCCTAAGTCCTCGGCGAACGCCTCACTCACGAACGAACGTTGCGCTCCGGTATCGATAAGGATTCGTGCATCCTTCCCATTAATCTTTAATGTTCCTACATTTATACACCATGTAAGATACCTTTTCTAATGGTTTAGGACACTTTTTGGAGGTTAATAGGTTCATATAGATGTTCGGAATCAAACGGGGGTCCAATCGTAGAAGAACGAGAGGAAAAACTTAGGTTTCGGGCGGCTGGGGTCCACGCACGGTCGTGCGTGGGACACGCACGGTCGTGCGTGCGTGAAGAAACGTCGAATCCGACCACTGCCGGTTACGCACGATCGTGCGTACCCGGCCACGCACGATCGTGCGTCCACGCACGGCGTGCGTACCGGCACGCACGGTCGTGCGTCCTGCGCGAAATTCACCTGGAACCACTGTCCCCTACGCACGATCGTGCGTGGGGTTGGACGCACGATCGTGCGTCCCTGTTTTTGGTCAGTTTTGGCCCGAATTTCGCCGTTTGACCCCGAAATGGCTCGCACTCAATCCCTATGACTTATGTCATCAATTTATGGATTAAATATGGACAAAATACAATTGTGCAAGAGGCAATACCTGCAACCGAGTCCGGGTTAGCTCGAGCATCCGCCTCCGTCATCGCATAAACTCTAGCTTGAGTTCTTCCTTGATTCACGGATGGCGCGGTGCTCGTACTCGCTCCCCCATGTCCCCGGCTCGCTTGAGAAGCTCCGGTTTGATTCCGTGTACCCGTCGGACCGCTACTCGGTCCCGATGTCCTTGCCCCACTCAATTGTGGGCAATGTGCCTTCAAATGCCCGGCATCCCCGCATTGAAAACATCTAGGGGGGTCGCGACATTTACCGGAGTGGTTCTTCTTGCAATTGTTGCAACGAGCTACCACTGAGGTTTGTGACCTCGCGCCTTGCCCACTCGGGCCTTGGTTCCCCCTATATGGTGGCGGTGGTGCCCGGAAAGATCCTCCTCCGTGGTTCCCCTTTTTGTTGGAACCTTGGGAGCCATGACTCTCCCACTTTCTCTTTTTCGCCTCCTCGGCGTCTCTCTTCTTCCTTTCTTCCCATTGCTTCTCTCCTTTCAACCCTTGGTCAACCACTTGGGCAAACGTCATGTTAGGCAATTGTGTTGCCCTGTCACGTATCTCCAAGTCTAGAGCATCCCAGAAGTGGTTCACCATCCGGTTCTCGTCACAAGCATACTCAGGTATGTAATCGGCAAGATCCCTGAACTTGTACTCAAGTTCCCTCACCGTCATGTTACCCCCTTGGGTTAGAAGGGTGTATTCCCTCACTTTCTTGTTCACCTCAAAATCCGAGTAATATTGGGCAAAGAATTCCTGTCGGAAATTCTCCCAAGTGACGGTCTCGCCATATTTGCCTTTGGTCCCATCCCACCACTTGGATGCCATACCTTCAAGCAATCTCACCGCAACCCTTAGTTTATATTCGGGGGTGAGTTGCATGTCCAGGGCTGCCTCATTCAGCCGCTTAATCCATTGTGCCGAAACGGAGATGTCACCCGTCCCATCGAACGGTTTGCACCCCAAGTCTCGTGCCTCTTTGATGTATTTGGAGATCCTTATGATTGGACCTCCATCACCCCGACCCCCATGTGGTTCAATGTGGGCCCTAGAGTCGCCATGGCTTCTCCCTCTTGAAGCCCCGCCCGAAGGTTGCCCAGCCCGGCGCCTTCGGCGTTCCCTCCTCTCCTCACGCTCACGGTGGTACTGTTGAAGTAGTGCTTCAATCCGTGCTAAGGAGCCATTTTCCTCCTCATCACTTACATCATCATCATCCCCTTCATAAGGGGTCTCAACCGGTTCAGTTTCCGGTCGATAGGTCGAGTCCTCATAGGACCAGTAGGTTTCACTTTCCGTGTCGACATGACCGTCACTCACGGTCTGTGATTGGCCTCCACGGCCAGCTCCTCTAGATGCCCTAGAGGTCCTTCGACTGCCCTGTCCAGTCTCCACTGGTACACGACCCGTCGGGTTTCTCCTAGTAATCCTGCCACCACGGTCCATTTCTGAAAGAAATTTGGAAGGAGTCGTTAGACTCGTATCAAATGTCAATTGACGGATAGGTACTTAAGACACATTTTGGCTCGAGTCACCGCCATACCAATTGCTAAGGGTACCATCTTAACAATTAGAGACCTTGCAACCCAAGTACCAAAAGCTCTCCAAGTACAAAACTTCCATGCTCATGGTTTTCAAAATCTTTTCAAAAAGAGAATTTTGAGACTTCATTATGAAGTTTATGGACTAAGGCTCTGATACCAACTTAATTGTCACGCCCCGGACCTCCCCGGACACGTCAACAACCCGCCGTACGATACGAATAGTCAACCGCAGTCCAACACATTCATATTATACAAGGCGTCATGAATATCATTCACACATAAGTCATCCATAAACATACATAATAAACAATTGAATACGCAGCGGAAAACATTGTTTAAAACAAAAGGGCCACACAGGGCAAACATGAGCACGCAGGCTCTAAAGTAAAATATCCATGAGCAAGTTTAAAATTATTTAAAAACAGAATGGAGGAAGCACGAACCAAGTCTTCTCTCCAAGGAATCACTCGATCCACGAGCACAGGAAGCAAGCTCTAGCCTCAACCTGAAATGGTGGTGGGACGCCCCCGAAGGGGTCAGTACTCTATACGGCTATAAAGTACTGGTGTGGCAGGCATCTAATAGATATACAACAAGTATTTCAAACACAAGACCCTCAAGTAGGGTGATAGTACATTATGATTGTAACCCTAAGTTACCCCGTTTAAAAATATACTTACTTTATATAAAAGTCAAGTAGTCGGCCCGTGGGCCCGTTTTCATTTGGAAATCACCATTCCCAACCCCGTGACTATAAGCCACGACAACTCCTAGAGTCCAACCCTAGTACATGACATTGTATTCTAGAGCTCGGCTCTACCACATCACCATACAATTCATATACCTCGGGTCAATTTCCCTACCTTGCGTTCTAGAGCTCGGCTCTATCACATCACCACGCAAGTCATAGAGCTCGGCTCTAGCTATACAATACATAGACTCCAAGTCTACACCTTACATGCATTCTAGAGCTCGGCTCTATCACATCACCATGCATTAAGGTCCAATTCTCAAGCAACCCTATGCCTAGAATTGACATATCATTAAACTACCATGGGTCATCCTTAAAGACTCCCCATAACTTAACCTTAGTTCCATACTAAGTTATCATATACACTTGAACTACATTCAAGTACCTTTCATACAATCCAATCCCTAGGATCAATTTAATCAACAAGTTCCAATAATCACTAACTAGTATTCCAATACTATTAAGATTATTGTTATCGTACCATTATCCTCATTGTTTGTAATTCTCTACATATTTATAATTATGTAGCAGCAACTTAAGTATTCAATCTCAATACACAAATATTCATTTATGTATCCACATGATTCATACATGAGCAAAATGCCCATTTTCACAAAATAGTTCATTTATACTCATTTAATCTCATATTATTCATACTTTCTCAAATCATTCCAAATTCATTCTTTGGCAACTATATCAATATTTCATCAATATATAGTCATCATAATCCATGAAAAATCATGATTTAAGCATTTAGGTAATCTCATGCTTAACCTACAAGTTGTAAGCAATTAGATGTCAATCCTCACCTCAATTGAGCTTTAAACTTTCCCTTCTTGGTCCAATGGTCAAATCTTTGGTCAAGGTGGATTTGGGACTGATTCCTTGCTCAAATATGAGTGTTAAACAGCCTCCTCAAAGTGCTAGTTCAACCCTTAATCGTTGATACGAAAACAGCCCCTAGAACGGGTGTTTTCCGGCTAACTCGATTCCTAGTTTTCCAATATTTGCATCTAGGTTAGTATCTAACCTTTACATCAATAAGATAACTTTTTAGGGACATATTATACACTTGGATTAGTGTATAATAGTCTCACCAATCGTTCATATCATTTGGAGAATGAAAAGTAAAGCTTTGGGGTTAAAACTCACTTTAGAAGATTAAATCCTCTCCTGCGAGGTTGTGTTTTGCTCGGACGATTTGGAAGCCTTCCACAACTCCGATTCCTGCAAACCAGACCTTCACGGATTCCTCGTCTTGAGAGCTTTCTGTGGGTATCTCACACGCCTTAATTGGACTTGTAAAACTCGAGATATCGACCAAACAGTCTCAGCACTCTCACAGCTCGAGTTCACAGACCTTTGCTCGTTCCAGCTCGATTTTTGCAAGATAAGCCTTCTCTCCTCGAACAAAGACCACTCAATTGAGATAATAGACTTCAAAGGCTATCCAAGGACACCTCATACACGTTATTTGGTTGAGGATAGCTCCTATAATGAGAGGAGACAAACAGCACACCAATTTGTGCGAAAATAAGAGTGGTGGCCCCAAACTTTGATTCTTATCAAGTCATGTGCAGCTCTTCTCCATAATGGCCGGCCAAGGTAAGTCTCCTAACCCATTTTTATTTGTTTTGCAGGTACTAATACCATGTGGAGTGGTTCCCAATTGATCCCATTAAATTTGGGGTCCAAAATATCTACCAATACTTCCAAAAAATGGGAAGATGGGTCCTATTGTTTTATCTTTGTCAAAGATGTCTTTTTGTACTCATCCTAATTTATTTAGAACAAGTCAACTTCCTAAATCACATTATTGATCTCCAATATGTGTAGGCTCATCCCAATAATTTACACGATGAAAATTACAAAAGAATGCGGGTTTGAACAATACAATATTCAATCATGTACTTCGTAAAATATTAATCGTTTCTCCCATTGTTTTGAAATTGGAAATTCAATACATCACTTTTGAATTTTTAAATCGAATTTTCAAGGACGTTCGGGTGCGGTGTCACAACTAAAGCGACATCGCAAGAAGTAATAGAACAAAGATTCTGAGAAGGAATAAGAGATTAAGAGTGAGATTAAGAAAATGAAAATCAACACCGGCGGTGGGAAGGGAAGGAGACAAAGGAGGTTATTTCCGTGCAGAGATCGCGAGGAGGCCCGGAGGAACACTTCCGAATTCTGAGTGAGTATTAAGGCTTAGAGTATGAGCTACTCCACCATCCTGATAGAAATCAATTGCATGGTATTATTGAGGAAGGAGATCACCAAAGTTCACTACCAAACGGAGAAGACGGAAAGGCAACATACCTGGAGGGTTAACGCTTAGCGGGTGAATTTTCAGGCGTGAATTGGAGCAGCTGGATGATAGCATTCATAGCAACGTTGGGAGGAGCTACGAGAGGAGAGAATGGACGGTGTATTCAAGGCGAGAGAGGGAGATGGGACGGATGGAAATAAAACGGGGAGTTAAGCCCCTTAATAATGAAGTACAAACGGAAAAACATAGTGTACCATCCATTTATGCCAATGATTATACCAACATTTTTTTCATTCCATAAATGCCCTAACTTTCAATGAGGATTATAAGATTTTAAGGTAAAGGGCTAGGGGTTCCAGTCTAGTTAGAAGCGTTTTGATATAACGAGTGTCTGTCCAATTAGTTGAGGAGTGGGTTGTTAATTAAGGAACTAGAGATTTGGAATATGGCTAGCCTAATTAATCAAAGTATCATTATTTTCTTGATTAAATTTAATAATTCGTGAAAAAAAATTAAAATGATTATTACTTGCGTTGATACTTTCTTATTTTTGAATCATAAAGACAGTTTAGTATTTGAACTAATTATATCAATAAAAAATTAATTGATGTACGTCATTTAATTAACAAGTTATCAGGCCCTCATACTTTAAAAAATTAATTGATTCCCTTAAACGTCATTTAACAAGTTATGGTCCTCATACTTTAAACGTCATTGAAGACAAACTGCTAATCCTATCAGGTCCTCATACTTTAAAAATATCAATCAAATCCCCGAATTTTGAAAAAACGTTACGTGTCATGTTAACAGGTCACCCGCTGACATGACACACACACACACGGCGTTGTGGCGGTCCATGTGTGTGCCACATCATCGGGGGGGAATGGCTAACTGGCGGTCCACGTGTAGTCACATCAACAAAGTTACGGCTGACTAGGCTGCCACA